GTAGGAGTTGGTACTCAGCCCTGTGCACATGCACAGACAGGGGAAGGCTCTCGAGGCCTGGCCAGCACCTGGCTCAGAAGGCCAGCCTTCCCTGTCCCCATCCCCAGCAGGTGTCTTGGAAAACAGACTAGGTTCCATGAATCTTCATCTCAGCTGTTATAGAGCTTCCGTCCCCATGGAGAGAAATCCAGAGAAGTCCTAAATTCTTCATGAGCAGAAATGATGAGTTTCTTGTGTCTCCAAATAGAGCCTACCAGGAGCCGCCTCTTCCTCTGCTGTTTTAACAAGTGTCAGTCAGGGTCTCGTGTGAGCATCCAGTGACTGAGGCATTCAGGGTCTTGTGTGTGTGTGTGTGTGTGTGTGTGTGTGCGCGCGCACACACACACGCACATCCAGTGATGGGCAGAGGAAATGTCTGAAGAGTCCACAGGAAGCCCGTATGCGATAGTCTGTTCTTTTTGAGCTTCCCATGGCCTGCAGACCTCGTGCACCACAGTTGAAGTGTTTTGGGGGTGACCTCTCCAGGCTGGCCGGCTCCCAGAGGCACCCTTTTCCTGGCACCGAGCAGACACCCTGCTTTGGTTACCTTCCTGTCTGGAACCCAGTTCGCACAGATGTGGGCCGGCTGGTCCGAGGAGGTGTGCGCTAAGGCAGGGCAGGCGCAGGCCCAGCCCTGTAGGGGCAGAGCACAGCCCTCACCCTCCCTGCATCTATGAGCACAGCGGGGTGCTTCCACACGGCAACTGCTGTGCTCAGTACTCTCGACTTCCCGGGGCTAACCTGTGCTCACGGGCCTGGAGCTGGGGAACACTTTCTCGAGCCGTTCTGACCCGTGGCCCCATGCCAGGCCGCTCCTGTGAGACTGCTTGGCCACGGCGTTTTTCTCCTTGGTGAGGAAGCTGTTGGTAGTGGGCTTGCCCGACCCCGGAAGCAGTTACCTCCGCTGTGCCCTGATGTGTGCCACACAGCCAGCCAAGCGCCCACCCTGCTCTCCTGAGCAGCCCCTGCTGCCGACCTCAACACAGTTCAGTGACCACGTGAGCGTGTCCTTACGTTCGCCCTGGACCCCGTCCCGAGGGTCAGTGCCGTCTCTATTATACTTCCTCTGTTGGGTCTTTTGTCTTTCTGTCTTGCGGCATGCTTCCGACGCTATGTGCTATTTCCTGTGTTTGTGGGCGTGGAGGAAACACTCGTGAAGACATCACTGGAGTTGAGTGTGTATGGAGTATTCACGCAAAGGAAAAAAGACGCGCTGTGCAAGTGCCAGCGGCAAGAAGTGTGTTCAACACCAAGTGCCGCCAGGCTCGCCTGGTGTGAGTTCCCTCGGCCTACCCGAAGCGGTCCCCAGGCTCTGTCCCTCCGTGTCCTCTCAGCATGCTCTGTGGCCTTCAGCGTGGACTGAAGTGCGTGTGTCCCTGTGCAGAACGGAGCCTTCCGGGAGAGCAGGCCCTCGAGGTTTGAGAATCAGATGGGGCGCACAGCTCGTCTTTCCTCGAGGCTGGGGAGGCCCGGAAGGGCAGCTCCAGGAGGGCCGTGCTCTGCCTGGCAGCTGGAGGGGCACAGTGCCAGCCAAGCGGGGGCAGCTGGTGCCCTGGGGACATGTGGCCCAGCCCCTCCTTTTCTGAGTGTGCCTCTCCAGCCACAGGGGAGGCCTCACCTCCAGCCACAGAGGGGGCCTCACCTCCAGCCACAGAGGATGCTGCCTCACGAATGGCACTCTCCCCCTCAGCTGAAGAGCACGGAGACTTGCTTCCCGCCTGGCTCTAGCCCCGCCTTGTTGGCAGGCCGGGCCTTCAGCAAGCACTGACCAGTAGAGACACTGGCTGCCATGGCGTGCCCAGGTTTGCCTCCACAGTGTTCAAGGTTTGGAAGGGAATGTTCTTCAGACTTTGAAAATAAATCCTAATTATCCCTTACAGCTGAATCCCCCAGAGCACATTGTACGGAAGCGTACCTGATACAGAGAAGAGACTGAGGCCGGGCGGAGGCCCAAGTCCTGGGCCAGGCTTGCTGGGGATCCATGCCATTAGCCTGACTCGTGGTTGGCTCAGTTGTCAGCGTGTGTGTGGTGTGTTATATGTGAGTGAAGCCTCTTGAGTGTCTCACCTTGGCAGATAAAAGCTCGGCACTCCTTCTGTCCTCAGTGTAGCCTCGGCCTCCTAATGCCTCCCAGAAGAGCTCAGGGAGACTGGCCACCTGACTCATAAAACGTGTTCAGTGGCCTAGCTAGGTCTCGCTCGGCGAAGTGGCTGTGACGTCAGGAAGAATTACACCTTTTTAGACAGCTCAGATCTTACCACATAGTTGAGAGATAACTGCTGAATGCCTTTGATAGTTGTGAGTAGATCGTCTGTGTTGGGCAGATCGGAAACACACAATGTGAACATGGAAGCATCAGGGACCATTTAATACATTGTTGTCATTATCATTCACCTAGCAGTGTGGTTAAGAAAACTCTGTATTTTCCTTCAGTAAACCATGTCCGAATCTGGCCATCGCCTGCTTCTTACAAAATCTCTCATCTGTGCTGCGGCATGAGGGACAGAGGAGAGAGGGTCGGGTGACAGCCAGAAGCTGGTGCGCAGAGAACCACCCACAGGGCTTCCTTGGCTCCTCATGGGGGTCAGCTTCCCCTGGAAGGTGTAGACACCCCGGGGTCTTTCCCTGGAAGCCCCGGCTGCTGTATTTTAAGAGCAAGGCAAACCAGAGCCCTCAAGCCAGACATGACTCCCTGGAAAACCCTTTCCCAGGGGGGCCCGTCAGCTCCTCTGCTGTGGCCTGCACTGTGTCCTTGTCGTGAGGGACTCCACCTGCCCCAGGGCCCCGTGGAGCCTTGAGCTGGGCTGGCGGTGATGGCTGTGTGTTCCACACCTTGGAAGCTGGGAAGGGGCTTGATTCCGTTCTGGGTCATTGGTCATCTTGCACTCTTGGCAATGGAATTTTAGAAAATTGTTTGTGTTTAGGTTTTGTTAGGCTTGTGGCAATGGCTTCTAAGGCAAATGTTATTAATTATGACATCCATTCATTTTGCCAGCCAGTGTTTATTGACTGGATGCTATGTGCAGCACAACAAAGAAATTAAAAAATAAATAAAATTTTAAGTAGATTTAGAGCCATTTGGACAATGTTTTTCTTGTGGCAGTTCTTATTTTAAAAACACTTTGTGGAAATTGTTTTGAGTTTTAAATTTTGTATAAATTTCCTAAGCTTCTGTCATTCCAAACTAAAAACTACCTAGACTTTTATGATACAAAGCTCCAGGGTTTTGACTTCACATGCTTTCTAGCCTCTGTCTCGCAATTATGGGTTCTGAACCTTTTCTTGGAATATAAAAATATCTTTGTCAAGTCTGTTTGGGTCAGGTAATTGAAATTAAAAGTAAGCTTTGTCCGCTTTAGGCCGATGTGTCTGGCTGCTCAGACAGCCCCAGAACCCCAGGCTCAATGCCCTGTCTCACTGACGGTGCGATTCAGAGCCGGGTGTCGGGCTGCAGGGTGCCTCAGGTCCCCATGTCCTCAGGTACTGCAGGCCACTGCTGATCCTTTGTGCTTGGCCTCCCTAGGAGAGGACATGGAGCTGCCACACCCAGCCAGAGGGAGCCTGGGAAATGTAGTCCATTGTATTGAGGAGGAGTCCTGGGGCCCAGAGTGGCCTCAGTTGCATTCCCCTGGGAGGGACACTTGCCGGGCGCCTTCATGCATTTCCTGGACATAAATGGCCACTTCCATTTATGTAGTGTTCCCTGAGGTCAGGTGTTACAGATCTTCATTAATAGCTCAAAAACAATTCTGCAGTAACTTGATAATGATGGATTCAGTTACATCTTTGTGAAAATTTTCATTTGTTTTGTCTCTCTCTCTATGTGTACATGTGTGCGTGCTTGCTTGTGCCACAGCACGTGTGGAGGTCGGAGAACAACTTCCAAGACTTGGTTCTTTTCTTCTGCCATGTGGGTTGGGGACTGAACTCACGTCATCAGGCTTGACAAAAAGTGTCTTCTGCTGAGCCATCTTGATGGCCCTGGATTCAGTCACTCTTACAACATACATATGTGCATACACACACATGTATACATATATACACACACTTACATACATACACATACACACATACATATACACACACAGATATATACA